GTCTGATATTATGGTGTTCGTTACGTAAAGCGTGTTAGACGACCACACAAGCGATAGAACGAAATATTCACAAACATGATGGGAAATTTATAGCGCAATGAAAGCGAATGAAGAAGAGTGGGGGAGGCCTTTGCACTTGGCAAGCGGATGAGAAGCTGGTGCTAGATATCAGGTAATTATTATAATACCCAATATTGTTAATTTTCTAATATCCCAATTTACGCTTTATTATTAATATCCACAGGTACCGTATTTATAAAATGAAATACAATGTAAATGCTGATGTCGAACGGATTTTAATATTCTTACAGATAACTATGGAAGAGTGTGTCGCGATAGAGCGCGGTGTAATTGAATTATGTGTTGGCGTTAACGCGGTTACTGCTTCGCTAACGGCAGGAACTCGCAACTTCATTACGAGAATTCACAACTAGAGTGTCACTTCAGAAATTATCGAATTATGAGGTTACGCGCTCAGTAAAATTATCTGGCATTACATTTTTGAAAATTAAACGATTATATTGATGTTTATTTTAAGTTTCCAGATTTGAATTATAAATTGTTTCATTGGAATTCCATTTTTAAAATTTATACGGTCACATTATAGGTCTCACTTGAAATCGCGCCACCTTACATTTTACATTTGAAAATTTATTAACCATTTCACAATTATAACAAAAATAATTGTAAAATTGTGTTAATGAAATCCTATAAATTATATTTTTATAAACATTTTACAACGTCAAAATAGAAACGTTTAATAATTGCATATTTAAAATTTTTGACTTTCATATAAGTACCATGTAAAAGCGAAAATATGAAGTAAGGTTATCCTATTAGTGCCTCCCCCTCCTCCCTCATCCAGGGCATCGTTCCCTCGCGGTAATCAACTATTATAACTTCGTTCCGGCTCCAACCAGACAGACATCCACACCTCCATCCATCCTCTATATTTATGTTATATATTGAATGTGTATAATGTATATATTGGCCTAGAGTTCCATCATAGCAATAGACTAGTTAAAGATAAAAGTCATCCTGTGTGTAACCTACTCCAATATGATGACGCTACGTTATTTATATGTTAGTTATATAAATGAAACTTGGTTTTTGGTTTCTTTCCTCCTTTTTATTTCTTTAAATATGGTTCTATTCCCAGCGAAAGAAAGTTCTACTTTAATGATTTCATATTTTGTAAAACACTGTTAATATCTATGAACTGAAGATCCGTTTTTAAACATTTTATTTAGTTTATAACGGCTTAATCGTAAGGTACATTTATTTATTGTACCATAAAAAATACCAAACATTATCATCAATTCCTGCACCCCTTGTGGGCTTGTGCCGCAAGTAACGTATATTTTGCCTTCGCGCATCTATCACGAGCTTCTTACGTCCAACTGCGAAGGCAGCCTCGATCTATCGGGTTACCAACGCAGCCTCGATCTACCGGGCTACCAACGCAGCTTCAATCTACCGGGCTTCCAACGCAGCCTCGGCCGACCGGGTTGCGTTTGTATATTACAAAACAGAAAGAGTAAAGGTATATAGGAATTACTTGGTAAATTATGAGCGTTGTATATCAATTAAACCTGCAACCAAGCAAAGTCCACTCGGTCTATATTGTGCCTATACGATCTTAAAACAATTGAATTAATAATTGTATGAATACTATACTAGGATACATTTTGCAACATCGTAGCTTAATTTGGCGACACTAAAGAATATATAGGTATATATTGTGAAACTCAGAGAACATCGCGTTTATTTTTACATCAAATTTTCTCACATTATTCCCCTTTATTTCTAAGTGAAAGTGATATGTATATCGCATTAGACGCTTTTTCATGGCACTTTAGACCGTGACGCGATAATCGTGGGGTTCGATTATGATAAAGCATCAGTATTCCAGAGGAGGTCCAAGTGCAACAAGAACTTGTAGAACATTTTTATGGACTGGAATCTTGTTATTTTATTTTATTCTAGACTCATAGTAGCCTAAACATTCTGATTTTCATATTCATATTTTTTTCGCAACTTCGTAAAAATTATGTCTGTCAAAACAAACGTCACGGAAGCATTTTATATTCAGCTTTGTAATACTATATACCACTTTTTTTTAAATTAGAATTACCCTCTTTAAGTTACGTATGAAAGTACATATGAACTATAAATTAATTTACACAAAACATACTTGTATTTTATAGATAGTAGGATATATTTTGCTGCAGCAATTACATAACAGCAGTAAATAAACTGTCGTTTATTAGCACATTAGATGAAGTGGAGCGCGCCAGGGGAGGGACAGATGGACCGTTTTGTTGTTTTAATGGGTGTGTATTGCGTTCCTTGACTTATTATTTAGGCGTGATTAAAATTATTAATGTATACACTTCACATAGAAAGGTTTAGTAAAGTTTAAGTACATAAGTCTAGGATTCATAGACAAGTCTAAACACAGGATTTAGTGACAAAGCTATGCGCTAAGTATGGACTCTCCCTTCTGTCAAAACCTACCTGTGTATCTTATCCAAATATAAAGCCGGGTCCACATTTGTAGCATTTCGGTGTATCGTATCTCCGTTGCGTGGCTTCGGCGCGTATCATGATCGTTAGTTTGGACGCAAAATGATACCCGTTTATGATACATGCCGTATCGGATACGGCCCGATCCGCACTAAGCGCGTATCTTGATACACCTCGTATCCGATACGCGTATCACGATCGGTGGTATGGACGTATTTTGATACTGTATCACGATACTGTATCGCGATACGATACTTGATACACCGCGAACCATCCTGTGTCGGTTTTTTCGCGATCATCAAAGGGAATACACAACATCAATGGGTGACATGCGAGTGAAATTTTTGTATTTTCCGCTGGTATACTGAAATTTTAAATCTCGCATAAATGGTATTCCACCATGTTTGTTTCGGTTTCTAAACACTTCCAGCGCCGTCTACGTCTAGATTTAACTTTTTTTAAAATACTATTAATGATAATATAACAGGCGCTAGTCACCGCCAAACTGTGAGCAATTGCTGACATGGTTAAACCGTTTGGGAACGAAGACATGACTGAACATTGCGAGAAGGGAAAGGTGCACTGAAAGACACGCGCATCATGATACATCGGAAGAAAAGTGAAGCGTCTATATTTGTAAAGTTAAAGCCGATACACTGACATGATACAGCATTTGATAAGTATGGACGCGTTTTTTACAAGATACGCCTTAAATATACGACATGGACAAAATGAGCGTCCATATTTATGATACAGATACTAGATACGATACGACTGATCGTGATACGTCAATATGCTACAAATGTGGACCCGGCTTAAGGCAACTTTTTATGAAAAATTTTAAGAAAACATGCAAGTTTTTAACTCTGATGTAAAGTGCGCAAGTAAAATAATTATTTTACTTGTTACGGAACGTTACGGAACTTCATAAAATCTATAATCTAATTCATTTTATTCTAACTATGCAATTCGTCACCCCGCTGAAGACCATTTATCGTAAAGAGCACAACAATATACTGTTATCTGATGTTGTATTGGAAATCAGTCGGTCGAAAGAATTCTGAAGTGCACCATTGTTAACGACATCATTTGATTCTAACAGCTTTACATTGACTGCTATTCAACGGTTAAGTGGCTGTTTGGAGAAGCCCAAAGGGTCAGGGGAGGTTTTATGTTATAAGGAAGTATATGAACGTTGTTGGCCTACGCTTAAGCCTAAAGCCGGATGTGTACCAATGAAGTTTTATATGTTTGCAATTAACACTTGCAGTGAACATCAACCAACAATTGTTTTATTGAAGAGTTGACGTAGCAGTCGCATAAGGCTTATCAAAGATTTAGAAACACAATTTAGAAATATGCGGAAAAGCCTCATAAAAGGGATTAACATAATTAATTAAATATAGACTATAAACAAAATTTGCTTGCGGTACTTGCGTACAATACATTTTTGTAAAAGTATTTCAAAAAATCTATGGATATTTGTATACTGATATGAACTAATTTTTCATGCAATAATACTTGTCATTGGCCAATCACATCTTACCTGGCCTAAATTGACATATTTTCCGTAATAGGCTCTGTGGTAATTAAATGCCTAATGCACCATAAACTGAAAGTACAACTCATGAGAGACGTAATGAAAAAGTTAATGAGAAGGGAATCGCCGACAAACGTTCCTTAATTTACTTCGCTGGGAAAAGGGTCACTAATTGATTTCACACGACGACATACGAAATGCTTTAATAGTATAAATACTAAGCTAATATATAAGTAATTGTTATAAAAGCCGTCGGGGTAGTTCTGCATGTTTTAGTATATTGCGACAGTACCAAGTTCATATATCCTAGAAGTAGTTATGACTGTATAAAAGTATCAAAAATTATTCCAAACATTTAAATAAACTTGCATGTATCTACCGCGGGATACACCGCTGTGGCGGCCTGCATGTTGCACTGCTATCAAACTATTTAATCACATTCCCAGAGGTTATTGATCACTGCCGTGTATTGCTTTCAAGGGGAAGGTGATTAAAATTTTAAAGGCAAAGTTCTTTTATAATGTGGGAGTGTATTTAGCCCATACGTTTTGGCAACAATTATAAATCAATTTACTGTTCTTATGATTATAACATTACAACATATGATACTTACATGTCTATTTTATATGACTGATTGTGAGTTTTTTAACGGTTTTTTATTATTATAATTAATCAATCTAATTTACCACTTTCTTTGCAAATAATTGATTTTTTTATTTAAAATTCTACAATACACCATCTACAAAATCAACCAAATAGAAGTTAATAAAATTTTAACTACAAAACCAAAGCATGTTTTCTGATACTTGCCCGATGAATATCAATAATGGAACTATACTAAATTCAATTGGTCTATTGTTTCTAAATGTCCATTTCAAAGTATCCGAAAGTTTTGCTACAACTGATGCCGCTTTCGGCGTGACATAAGAAGCAATTATGGAGTGTCCAATTTGAAAAGACCCCTCAAATCGTGTTCCGCTGATATGTTTTGTATTGTGTGAGAGTGTTTTACGGTTTTTTCGAGGCTGGGCTCCGGCTGACATATGCTTTGGGCTGGGGCTATAAGCCCCTTGGGTTCATTATATTTGAAGCCAATTCTGTTTGCGAACTTTACTTAATAAAGGGTGCTTTTCGTTTAGTTTCCGATATTGAATTATGGACGGAATGGGATTGAAATGCGGTTTTATTTGCTTGAGTGAAAAATTGGTTTTGCAGGAATTATTACTTACACTAATCGCTTTTGGGTCAATCTGTATTTAACTTTTAACAGTAATATATTTTTATTATTTATGTTTATTTGCATTAAACTACTACTTTCAGATTATTGCGTAATCTTTGTATCACAATTCACACGTTTCCATTCATAGAAGTTTATGATTTTTGAATAATTGAATTCTATCACTCCTCCTTTACAAGTATCCTGCTTTGGAACTCCTTACTTCTTGATATCGGATGAACTCTGTCTTTAAAATTATTTAAGAATCTTCTATTTGAGCATTTATTTTCTGCCTCGTAATTAGCTACTTGTACATATTAATTATGACTCATTAACCTAACAGCTTTTACATTATTATTGATATAATATTTTTTGATTTTAGTTTTGTGTAGGTTGGTATACACATAGTTTAGTTTAGTTTAGGTTGGTACAGAATCCTGTTACTTGTAATTATATGTATTTTTTATTACTTATTTATGCACTTCTTATACTTTCGGTAAGTGTTTCTTTTTTTTATTTTTCCATATTAGGGTTGCCTGTAAGAAATCGCTTGTTAGCGATAAGGCCGCCGGTTGCCTAATAACTTACGTAACCTGTCGTTATTTTTATATGTACTTTTGTTTAAGGTAAATAAATAATATTGAACTAACCTGGACTCTGACTTCTGGCAAGTTGACCTTCATGGCCAATTCCTCTCGCGAGTAAACGTCAGGGTAATGACTCTTTTCAAATGCCCGTTCCAGTTCATGCAGCTGGTAAGTGGTGAAGGTGGTGCGGTTCCGTCGGTGCTTCTTTTTATCGGCGGCTGAACCAGGCCGTGGAACGTCTTCATCGTCAGATTTATCTTCGACTGCTTGTTGATACCCATCATTGCTGTTACAAGAACCCTCACCTGAAATATCATTATAATAATTTAAGAAACTTCACAATACATTATCAAATGAAATTGTATTTTTAAGGGCTGTTTCTTGGTTTATACGGTACGAAATTTTATTTTTACAGGACGCCCAAAAAGGGCAATTATCGCAGCCCATGGACACCCATATTAGTGGGTACGTTGCCGGTCTTTGAGGGAGAAGTATGCTCTTTGTGGTATCGACTCCAGGTGAGACCCCCACCAGGAGTCGATTCCACAGTTCGCAATAGAGAATGTCTTGTGAAGCGGATCGTGGAAGACTTCCAGCCATCATGATTTATTAATTTTATGCTAACACTAGCTATCAAAACTGGAAACTATAAATCTTATATTTATGGTAGATTTACACCTGTTTTACCAACCCATAAATACTGTTCTAATTGTATGTGTTTTGTTAACGACTTCCTGAATATATCGCAGTACTGAAGGTCTACAATTATAAACAACTTCGCTACCCGCAACACGATCGCAATAACTGACAGATAAGTGTTGCGCAAACACATAGATCATTGGAAACGGTCATTAGCAAGTTACAGGTACGGACTAAATCCTCCAACGAGAATTATTTTTAAACACAAGTTATAATAATTGTTGATTGACCTAATCAGTTAAGTTAAAATAAAAAAATTAAATAAATAATCTTATTCTATAAATTCAGAGCAGTGTTGGGTTGGCCTTCAGCGTGCGACTGTAATTCCTGAGGACGTAGGTTCGATCCCCGGCTGTGCACCAATGGACTTTCTGTCTAGGTGCGCGTTTAACACGTTTAGCGCGTGAAGGAGAACATCGTTAGGACTTGCCTTAGATCCAAAAAGTCTACGGCGTAAGCACAGGAGGCTGATACAGAAATCTGAGGCCCAGATCTAAAAAGGTTGTAGCGCCTCAATTTTTATATTTTATTTGTAGGATTTTATTTATTTTATAAGTATATAGGCAAAGTGTTGTCGGAACACACGGACTTTTAAGACAAACTAAAGAATAGCATACTTGAGTATTATTGTTCTTATTAAGAATTTAACAAAGGCCCGTCGAAGCGTTATAAACGCGACGTTTCAGTTGTTCCATGTTAGGTTTAAACTAAGAAATGATAATAGAATCCTGTGTAAACGTGTGTTACAGAACGCCGAAAGAGTCCAGAAAGTTCACGGATACAAGCCAGCAAGATATACCTTGAATACTGTATCGTTCCGACCGACCATGAAAACATAAAATGATTCGTTGAATCCAAAGATATTTTATGATAAAACTTAAACTTAACTGGACCTAACATTTTAATTAACATAGGTCTAAATTAAAAATAATCCGTGGCCCCAAAGAGCCACGATACCTGGCTCCGAATCAGACGTTGTTTGCGTATGTTAATGAGTAATAGACGTTTATGCGTAATGCAATTATATTCAAATGTGTTTGAATACACATGCATTCGCTATTAATTAATACAAATATCTTCTATACGATTTGTATATAACAACATTAGCTGTACTCAGTTCATTTAATTTCTATATTAGACTATAGTTTATATATTTTTTTTTATGTAGGTAATAGGAGGCAAACGGGCAGGAGGCTCACCTGATGTTAAGTGATACCGCCGCCCATGACACTCACAATGCCAGAAGGCTCGCTAGTGCGTTGCCGGCCTTTCAAGAATTGGTACACTCTTTTCTTGAAGGACCCTAAGTCGAATTGGTTCGGAAATACTTCTGTGGGCAGCTGGTTCCACATAGTGGTGGTCCGCGGCAAAAACTGCCTTAGAAAACGCTCAGTTGTGGAACGACGGACGTCGAGGTGATACGGATGGTATATATCCATGTAAACTTGTATCTAAAGAATGGCACAGCTCAGCTATAAGTATAATAAGGGTTCTTTTAAAGATACACAGGCAAAGAGTTTCTATATCATCTTCGCTCTGTGGTGAATTTAATTTCAATTATACAGCATAGACAATCCTTGATTTAAAAAAAAGTAAAAACAACAGTAAGCTGTCTTTATCACAAATAGCTTAAATTACTTGTGTGTACATCAATATCCTTAATAGTCTGTGGATTATTAAATTTAAAAGTTTTAAAAGTTTTAGTAAAAATTTAACGTAAAAAAATATAAATATCTTTTACTAAATATTTATAATCAGAAAGTTATTAGTTACTTAGAATTAATGCTTAGAGTAACATACTTTATTTTATTTTATTCGTCTATAGTATACCTACATTTATATTTTATAGAAGTATTTGTAGTATTTGCAACAAACGATAATTATCATGTTTTCGAATACTATGTACAATCGAATACTCTAAAAATACTGTCCCGGAGTATTAATCGTAACAATATATTTTTTGTATCTTGTATTCCGAAAATAACAAATTCAAGTCAAATAATAGTAATTATCATCCAGTGGCACTACAACCCTATATGAGTTATGGCCTCAGATTATTCGATCATTTTTATTATATACACAAGTAGGTGATCAGCCTCGTATCTGACACATGTTTTAAATTTTTGAGTTTGAGATATATGCAGGTTTCAATGTGGTAGTAAGTGCTAATTGCGTGCAAATGAATAAAATCCTTTGGTGCACAGCCCCACACACCACAAGGATGAGGTTGACACGCAGACGCAGATGAGGGAGCAACTAGACAACACTACTCTTTCTTGGATTCAAGCCAAAATGTTATCAAATAACTTTAAACGATTCTTAGTTTCAGCCTTAAATGTCATTATTAATCACGCAATAATAACTAATTTGTATGCGAAATATCCTTTTGTAAGGGTGCAGTTACATTGGTATTATCACGGTACTACGTTAATAACAATAAGTCTATTTAAATTACAAGTTCATGTTTCCTTTCTATTACTTCGTGCTACTGATTTAAATACAACATATCTCTTTCTTAAATACGTTTTGCTTAATAAAAACCACATATATTAGAAAATTATTAATTTATAGCATAGGTTAGGATTCAAGATATTTTAATTTCTAATTATTGAAAATAAATAAGTTATAAATGACAATCGGTTGCTAAACTTTAAGTTTAGAATTTAATATTATTAATATATATACTGTATAATTGAAGTTATTAATTCTTTTATAAGAGACAAGTTGTAATATTATAACTTGTTAATAATTGATAAATTATAAAGACTATTCACATATTCACTTTGCTTAACGCTTATAAAAAATTCAATAACCCAATTAAAACTCACTTAAATGTGATTGTAGAATGTGGTAATGAGAAATAATGCAATCTCATTTGCAATTATAATTCGAACATGTCAAAATAGAATAACCTTAATAATCTATATTCAAATCAATTAGTCGACATTAAGACTAAATAAGATTGTCCAAATATTATAATTCAATTCGAAGATATCTCTCCGTGTCACTCCAATTGACGATTAAGAAATCAAACGGCTTACAGCATCTTAGCGTCCATCTTACCAGTCACAATATAGCTACCATACACTTATCTCGCTCACACGTATCGCTTGTGTGAAAGTGTGACAGAGAGGGCTGTCGTAGAAAACAAATAAAAACAAGATAGGCAACGCATTAAGATGTTTTACACTTATCGCGATACGATCTTGTCTTTTTTGTAATAATTATCGTTAATCTGGTAACACTCGCGGCATAATGGCCTGTCGTTGTTTTTTTTCCTGGCAACCCTAATCACGTGTCAGATTTACCGTGCTACATATTATAGCTTCTCAGATTTAATGATTGGGAATGTTCTTTAATTTCTTTTTATTGAGCCCTAATAAGTTATAATTTTGTTTCAGGCCTGTGTACATAAAATACGCAACCTCCAGGGGAGATTATTTTCATTCTATAAAAGAAGAAAAAATCTCTTTACCACACATGATTTGATGTATAGTATATAATGAACTATTTTTAAATAAGTGCTAATAAACTTATTTTTCTGAATTTTCTCTATTGTAATGTAAAAAAAACCTGTAACTTTCTCTGTATATCAGAGAAAGTTGTAGTGAAAAGTATAAAAATACTTTTTAATTATGATAACTATTTAAAATCACTATTATATATCACTACAGAATTAACTGTCTAACTGTAAATCGAATAAATATATATGTATACGTTAAACTAATGTAATGGTTGTTAATTGAAATGCAAGTGTAGGCTGTGATGGCAGAATAAATATTGCTCCAGTCATAAACATCCGACCAAAGCCAACCAATCAAAATCGATTCAATCGAATAATCGGACAATAATCGAGCGCTTGATTAGTGAGGGGGAAGTCGATTGCGGTGACAATCGATTTGCAATCGCTATTACACTGACATTCGATTACTGGCTGACCGCCGCCCGATCGGCTTCCTAATATAACACTGTAGTTTATGTATCTATGTAATAATATGAATAAATTGACTGATAAAACCTTTTTGTATCTATATTGCCTTGGTAGTAGAAATGTTAAAAAATGTCTCTCGGTTTTTACACTCTAGTACAAATTTGTTGTGCTTATTTATTTCCCAAGTAATAAGAGAGTGATAAAGATAAAACATAGGTAGGTACATGGGATACGTGAATTACGTAAAATTTTAATATGGTTTTTGAAAAAGGAATTTCGAATGTAATCTTTGTAATGTGTTTTTTTACTAAACTTAATGAAAAATAACTTAAGATTTTGTACCACAAATGTAAAGGCTAAATAGCTGAGCTCTAATTAATACAAAATGAAATATAATCGCGCCCATAATTAACGAATTACGCGGGTCTAAACACGCGATGTGTTTAATTGCCTACGGCCCGTTAAATATTTGTTTTTTTACTAATAATATATGCTAAGTTTCTGCATTATAGATTTGTAAGGCATCTCTTAAAATTCTAACTACAATTCCTTCAAAATGGTCCTTTTGTTAATCTTGAAACAAGAAAACGTGAAAACGTTGACTTGACTTTTGTTACAAAAAAACTAAAAAAAAACTGTTTGCGACTCTGGGTTGCTGTTTTTGCTTAACGCCAT